GGAGAAAGGGCGGGTGGTGGTGGTGGACAGTAATGAATCAATGTATTTTGAAACTATTTGAGACTGTGGTGAAAATGTAAAGGTAAAGGTTCCCTTGCTCGAAAGCCAGTCGAGTCCGACTCTAGGGTTGCGGTGCTCATCTCCGTTTCAAAGCTGAAGAGCCAGCGCTGTCCGAAGACTTTTCCGTGGTCATGTGACTAAACACCAAGGCGCACGGAACGCTGTTACCTTCCCACCGAAGTGGTCCCTATTTATCTACTTGCAATTTCTTGCTTTCGAACTGCTTGGTTGGCAGGAGCTGGAACTGGAGACGGGAGCTCACTCCGTCATGCGGCAACTCGGGTCTCGAACTGCTGAACTACCGACCTTCCACAGCCTGCAGTTCAGTGTCTTAACCACTTGAGCCACCGCAGCTCAATGAAATGTGAAAATGTAGCCACTGCTTATTCTGTGGAATGAGACGGGAGTGGCTAGAAGAGCTTGCGGCCGATGAGGAAAACAGCCGTGACTGTGGAGGGCAGAAGAGTCCCTTCACACCCTCCTTACCTCGGTATCCATTCCCCAGAAATCCATTCATCCCATATTTTGATTCCTTCCTTCCTAATGCAAAGGAGAAAAGAAGAACGGTGAAGCTAGCTCTAAACAGTCCACGGTTGTTGTATGTCCTCATTTCTTTTGGCCTGCAGGGCCATTTCCCCTTGGATCCAAAAAAACAAAATTCACCCCAAAGCATTCGGGGCCTGCTTCTTTGCCAGCCCTGATACTTATCATCTCCTGCTTTCCAACAGTTTTCTAGGGACACCCATTTCAAAAAAAATCCCAGATTTATGGTGAAGACCGTATGGACATTTTGTGAGACGACAGGCCCCCTTGATTCTAAACGCTACAGTAAAGCAGTCCTAAAAACCAGAGGCAACTGTGTCACACACTTCACACGAGTGGCCTCCTCCCCGCTCCCCAAAACTAATCCGGTGCCACCTACCGTATCCACCCAATGCTTGCCCAGGGCCCAGCGATGTGCCGTACCCTCCTGGGACTTGCCCCGCTGCAAGGGGATCGTATGCACCTGCTGGACAGAGCAAGGGTCCATGCTAAGCATCGTTCAGGCAGCCAGCCCACCCACCCCCACCCCCGTTGCAGAGCCCAGCCAGGCCCAACCGTACCGAGAGGCCCCCTAAAGAGCAGTCTGGGGACTCCCCCGCCCATTTTTGCACCCCGGGTCTTACCTGCTCCCAAACCGTTAGCTTGGGGATCTCCACCATTCATATATCCCAGGCCGTTTCCGTTGCCTGCATAGGGTAGAGAAGAAGCTAAAAAGTGAAAAGGGAGGAATGAATATAACTGAAAAAGAGCCCCCCTCCCCCAGCCCCATATTTATGGTCCTCTTCCCATTCCATGGGCTTGGATTTTAGGAACATCAAGAAGGCCTGGCATCTTTCTTAGTTTGGGAGGAGGCTCTCTTCTTTGGTTTAATATTTTTTTTGGGGGGGGGGAATCTCCACCCCAGAACCTAAAAATGTTAAGAGCCCTTTCAGAGAAAGCCCAAGGGGTTCATTTAGTCCGTCCCCCCCGTTTC